CCAACTAGTTCCCAGAGTGCAACGCGCGCCGTGTTACATGCAGGGCTTTATGGAAGTAGTCTATTGCCCAGCACGTCGGCTCTTGCCCCTCCTGCGAACCAGAGTTTTCGGCCACCAGGACAGTGGGCACACACAGGTCAAGATACGGCCGCGAGATTATCGAAGCCTTCGCTATGCGCCATTCACCGCAAAACATCGGGTCCCCATCGCTTTGTCTCTCCGACGCCGACGTTTCCTTTCTGCGTCCGGAAATGCGACAAACGTAGGCGCCTTTGAAGTAGGGTCGCCCTTCCCTCCTCAAGGTCACTTCCCTTATTATCCCCCCCCCCCCCCTTTTTTTAACTTCGGCGTGCGCTGCCGGCTAAGAAACATGTTTCTCTTTCCCTCCATCTCCATCTTCTCTCCACCCCCACCCTCCCTTCCTTCCCTGTCCTCCTCAACCCCTCCAACTCTGCGCGGTGACTGTCGCGTTTGGTGACGGGCGTCATAATAAATGTATGCTGCCAGTTGGAGAAACGTGTCGTCCTGTTTTCGTCCTCTATGTTGTTCTCCACAAACACCGCCACTCTTCTACATGTCGTCTTTTTCACGAATTTCTTTTTCTTTATAAAATAAAACTTACGCCACGCTTTTAGTTTCTGTGTTGTTATGTTTTACTGTTGAAACACTCCTACTGATTCCACGCGCTCGATCGAGCGAAGTGAGTTCGTCAAACTCACTCCAAGCCAAGTGTGTTCCTCAGGAAGGAGCCGTGTGGCACACTACAGAAATGACACTAAGGGCGAAGTGCACTAGAGTGCCTTCATACACACGCGCGCTTTTGCTTGAGTGGTGACATCTCGGCCATTTTTCCGCCCAATCGTTCTTTCTATGCATTTTGAAGTGCGCGCAATCCGGTATCACTCAGCACGAGCGCGTAGCTTTGGCTAACGCATAGACGCCATTTTACCGCCCAAGTCACGCACCAAGTGCGCGAGAACGTCACGCGCTGGCACATTCAGGGTAACAATGGATGTCTTCACCCTGAGACAGACAGACATGTAGGCACTCTAAAGTGCACTCGCTTGTAGTGACACTAAACTAGCCCGTCTGACAGGGGTATAAGTGTTACTGTTTCCTTGTCCCCAGCATAGGCCCTTGTGGAAACTCGTCAACGCCCGCTTCAGTGGCTCGGCATCTCGATACGACAAGAGAAGGTCGGCTATGGCGGTTCAATCTGGCGCGTGTTGAAAGCGTCTATAGAGTATTTCAAAGATGTTGCCATGCCCACAATAACCGCGACCATTTAGGCGTAGGTTTAGCAAGAGTCGAAAGACTATCTCAAAAGTTTGGCAATGTCATTGCTCATGCTTCGCGATTTAAGTGAGGTAAGGAAAAGCGAACGCCTCCTGCACCATTCATAGCTGACTAACGCGCCCGATATTACTGCTACTACGACATATTAGTTCCAAAGCGAGCGACGCTCGCTCGCAGGGGCGCCGTCATGTTTTCCCGCCATCCTTGCTCTGCCGGTCGCGTGACCTAAAATCCCCCCTCGTAGAGAAATGCGGTTAACTTTTTACCGCGGTTAAAGTTAACCGGCTTCGAGGCAAACGGGCCTACAGATTACAAAAAAACATCGCGCGTATTCAATGGCGGCCACAGCTGTGTCTGCGACTGCTGCGCGCCTGCTGACGGCCAGCTCCCACAGCCCTTCGGCAACGTCAGTTCCGCACCATCAAGACTGCCTGTCTTAGCAGCCTTTAATGTGAGCTCGTTCTGAGCATGCGCTCTAAGCATCGCGCTCAAATATGGCGTCCACTGAATACCCCTACACTAATTAGCAAAATATTTGACCAAAATTCACTCATAAACTTTTTAAGTAGTGAAATAAACACAGTGTTTCAATTAGAAACTTGCTGAGAATCATAATAAAAAAAATCCTAAATCAACTCATCTCTAGAGAGATGTAACACAGTTACAGGGCATTTTACGGCGCTAAAAAAAAGGTGAAATTTTGACGCGTTTGTAGACATTGGGTTTCTTGTCATCTGAGCGAGGGTTCTGGTTCGGAGCATTACCGAGCGCACCTCGTGTATAGACTAACTAAACTCTGTGACGTCATGCCACTGCGGTGGCGCTGCTGTCGGTGTTGAGCGTGCGCACACGCCGTAGTCAAAAGTTTAATTTCGATTTAACATTCGTATATGATTTTTTTTTTCTGGGACAATGTTATCTGCGTTCTTGGGGATTCTAGGGCAGGCCCTAGAATCCCCACTTGGGGAATGTTATCTGGGTTCTTGGGTTAATTATATTATTGGATAAATACCGAGTAATTATTGCCAGGTGCATCCCACTTTTTTTATTCGATGTTAGCGTAAGTGGCTGATACTTTTACGCCGAAGCTAAATATTAGAATAAAAAAGTGGACGAGAAGGTTTTTTAATATTATTTTGTTTTAAATTTTTCATTATTGTTTTTACAACTTTCTCATTTGTCAAAAACGGGCTAAAATGAGATTTTAGGAAATTCATCGTGCACCTCTATATTTCAATACCATACTACGCAGTGTAACGTTCTCATATCAGTATCGGAGGGAAAAATAAGATGAACGCGGTGATATTTACTCGGTCATTAAATAATTAAGCCATGACGATATTAGCTCGCATATGAAGATGTAGTTTTAGATTTCTTCTAATGAATTAAAAACTGCTTTGAACTCATTCATAGAATGCACCATAGGACATTTTTTTTTTCGGAGAAGTGCACATGAATGGATTAGCCTTTTTGCTGTCTTCTGTCTTCTCGCCAACTTCGCATTTTTTAGAGCGCAGCTCTTAGGGGCCCGTTTCCGGCTTGAGCGGCGTCGGCGTCGCCGTCGGCGTCGCCGTTGGCGTCGCCGTTGGCGTCGCCGTTGGCGTAACCGCGAGGTCACGTGACCCCCCCCCCCGAGGTCACGAGACCCAACCAGGTCACGTGACCCCCCGAGGTCACGTGACCCCCCAGTGGTCACGCGACCTCCTGAAGTCACGTGACACCCTTGAGGTCACGTGACCCCCTGAAGTCACGTGACCCCCTTGAGCTCAAGTGACCCCCTGGTCACGTGACCCCCTGGTCACGTGACCCCCTTGAGGTCACGTGACCTCAAGGAGTCACCTATCCCTCAGTACGCTTCCATCTTCCTCCTCAAGAGCTGCGCTCTAACGGGCGTTACAGGGAATTGTAAACGGCTTTCTTTTTTTTTCTCTCGGTTCCCCAGAGCTTCTTTTTCGGGTAACTGTCAATTTGTGAATTTGATTGCTGGTGAGCTTGCCGATTTGTTGTTTTCTTGTGAATTTTCTGTAAAGTCATTATTTTTATACCTAAAGTCATTTGAACTTTTTTTCGAATCATAGACATATTTTCATTGTATACTTTATATTTTATATGTATTTTTTGTATCGCCTTCCTCCTGCAGTATTGCCCTGATAAGGGCGATGTAGATAACTGAATGAATAAATGAATCGCTGACCCTTGCGATCAATTATACTAATTTTTCAACGTCATGTTCTGTCGGGAGGAAACTGTTCTGATTTCATGGAAGAACTGGCAGCAGGACCGGACTGGCTGGAAAAGAATATCCTATGTGAGGAGGCGGAAATGTTCTAGTACGAAGTGAAATAAAGAGACGATCGATGCAATGAAAAACTCCCACGTCGCGGAGAATAAAAAAGAACTGTGACCAAGACAAAAGAGGAAACGGCGGCGCTGCTGATGACGTTGATACTTGACTTGCATCATTGTTTCGAAAGACAAAAATATCCCTCCCCCCTCCCCCCCCCCCACCCCCCCCCCCCCCCCCCCCCCTTATGGACGCTGCTTTTTTTTAAGCGCATAAATGAACTTTACATCGCCGAACGCTCATTCTACGCCCAGATGTATCGCTAGGCGTCCGAGCTACAGCGAACCAAATGCCAACGTTTCAGAACTTACCTTTTTTCATTCAAAAGTTAAGATCGAAAATCGGCGCAAAAAAAAAAATGAGGAAGGACAGGTAGAATGAGTAGACGCTTGACGTGTCTACTCCTTTCTGTGCTTCATAAGTTTTCGCGCTGTTTTTTTTTTTTTTTCTTCTTTTTCTGTTAGTAATGCATTATTACTTAGGCCAAGTTTATACTCTTAAACAAAAAGCAACGTGATTTCCTGAAACTTCCGCCGTAAGATGGATCCCGTTGCCGCCATTTCTCGGTAACTGCCGCTTTTCAGCTCCACGCATTCGAGAGCTCCGTCGGCCGCCATTTTCCTGTTGGGAATTTCCGCAATCGCTTACAACTTTTAAACAAGATGACTATGAGTTCTGAAACTCGGGCGTCTGTTGGTTCGGACCGTTAGGGTTACATGTGAGCGGCGAATGAGCGTTCAGCATCGCGTTACTTACCAGCCAGGCCTCGCAAGTCGTTCAGCAACGACCAAGTCGTTCTTTCACAGCGCAGACATATACGGCTCAAGAGGCCGCTGCCTAAACACAACTGTCGTTTCCGTAATTCGGAACGATGCTCATTTGGCTTCGACTAAGTCGGCGCCAATGGTGCGCAGTTGGTGAATGTAAGCCGCTCTCAGACTGCTCATGCATCATACAATAAACACGGGCCGCAGACCTGATGACCGAATAATCTGCGGTCACGCCTCAATCATGTTTCAAGCGTATTTGCCTCGTGCATACGCATGTTTTTAACATGTCTAAGAACGGTTTTTATTTCGCCAGTGTGACGGGACCCTCATATACAAGGAAGGCCTCAGACCGTGACTGCAGACTGTCTTTTGTAAGATGTATAAGAAGTGAGACTGCCGCTTTAGAGTCAGACCTTGGCGGTATAGTTGGGAGAGCCACGACAAGGGAGCTTTGCTCTATGAATATTTTATTTCCAAAGTTCGCAGAGAGAATTAAAAAATTCAGAACTTCATGGAGCATACAGTAAATAGAAACTTCCCCGCGATTTAGTGCTTTTTTGCACCGAAGCGGGGATCAGAAATAAGATAGGTTAAGATTTTTGAGAGCCCGTGCAGAAACCATAGTCGGCGTCCCTGATCTGCATCTCCACTTTGTGGTAGATGTAAGAGTAGGAATCGGCTTCGCCATCTATCATCCAGGTAATACCGGGCTTCTTTAATGTTGAAAGGCCAAATTTACGTCCATTAAGATTTGCCCGATTGCAATCCTTGAACCACCAGCCACCACTTAGAAGTTCCTTTTCAGTGAAGCAGGAGCCTCGGTCGGGATTGGCCTTAGAGCTCTCCTTGATGGTGAAGACGGATCTGTTGTGGCCGGACAACGAGTCGTATTTTTTGCCTGCCAAAAACCAGCAGGAACCAAGCAACGGTGTTGAAGGATCTTGCACTATAACATACTCGCAAGCCGCAAATATACAGTAATATGTTCTCTTAAAGAAAAACATCTAGAAACATTTTACTGTGTCAGTGGAGGCAAAATGCACTTATTCACTTCCAAACTGATTTGCCTCAAAATTAGTTTAACACATTAATTGACACAGCCGAATTAATAACCTAAATTACATGTCACAATACTTTTTGTGGAGCTCTTGAATTATAAACTTCGGGCTGAAAGGCTTCACAGTGACACTGGCAATACTGAAAACGTGCCGTCAAAAACTTGACGCTAGGTGGAGCAAGCTACCGCCCGTTACGAAGGCGCAGCCGTTATCAACCAGCCATTCATACATTGTTGTTGAATGGGGGCAGCACAGTTTTTTCCTGTCTGGTGCTGTGGAATGAATTCCGGGGAAGCTCACATCGGCAAATGAAAAACAACAGACACTTAAATTACTGTCTTTTTAGGCTGTCTGCTCGACTTTCAAGTAATAAAGCATGTGACATCACCAACGAGGTAGAGGGGCTTAGAGTGATAAACCTTAAGTTCGGAAGTGGCACCCCCCCGGTTGCCGCCATGTTTTACGCAAAAGTGACTACTCGTCACGTGACCTATTAAGAGCCGTGACGTCATAGGTAAGACGGCAGCGCCCAGAGCTGGCGGATGCGAGCTTGTTTGGTGCGCGGTAGCCGTGATGTGCAGCGGCTTTCCGACGGATTCGCGCTTTTTCGAGCGCGCTGACGCAGGTATAATGTGAAAATATGAAGGATTGAGACTTATACCCTTTTTGCGCAAGATCGCTCTGGATCATCTGGGTATTAACACCTGTGCGAAAGCATCAGCCGTATCGCCGTACCCGTGCTCGGATTTGGGATCTGTTCGAGGATCGATAGAATTTTGAGTGCTTAGTTAGCATAAACTTTTCGCATTCTCTTAGCTTTGTTTGAACGTTGGAATGTCTGAAAATCGACGCGAAATGTATGCGTCGGATGTAGGGCCGAGGGGAATTTGTTTCAGCCCGAGGTAACTGCATAATCACAGCACCTTTTAGCGAGGAAGCTCCTGCGACCCTTAGGTTTTGCACTTATTAACAATTTTACGATATAACTGCAGGCATGGAATATTCGCATTTTTCTAGCTTCGTTTGAAGGTTGGAATGTCTGAGAATCGAAGCGAAAGGTGTACGTCGCGTTAGGGCCTAGAGGAAGTTGTTTCAGCCCTGCGTCAGCGAATAACCATAGCAACTTTTTGCGAGGAAACTCCTGCGATCTTTAACCTTTTGTGCTAATCGGTGATTCTACATTTGATCGATTTTCTTCCTTTTTTTGTGAGTGTGAAGTGCACACTCATTTCCAGCAACGAGGATGGCGTTTTATTGAATGTGGGGATGAACAAATTGTTGCAGATACCTGCTTCAAAGCTTTTCGACTTGCTATAAGAACAACTGTTTTGGTGTATGCATGGATTAACTGCACTTCTTTTCTTTTGTAAAATTTATTGCAGCAATACTTTTTTTTTCACCAAGAGCATACTTGTTCTAATTACCTGGATAAGATTATTCACATATGTGTTCATCCCTTGCCTGAAGAGCAGCCTTGTTGAAAAATGTTGACCATTCCTTTCGGTCTCTTCAATAGACTTTTTTGAAAAGTGTGGGCTGCATATACTTCTTATTATTGTAACTTGGAAAAGGAAAACCGCCAAAGCCCCCTCGAGCCAATCAGACCCGTACGAAAATGTCAGATTCAGGCCGGAATGAAAAATGCCGGTTCCGCCTAGACCCAAAATTGGGGCACCAGCCTGTATCCAGCCTGGAACCGCGCAGTTCCAGTCCCATTTTTAAACCCAGGACCGTTGCACCGCCGGAATTCCCTCTGCGCTCACCACTGGACTCTACAAAAGAATTTCGTGTTATGCCCTTAGCCGTTACAACCGAGAGATCGTCGTGATTTCAGACCCAGGCGGAGTGGGTCTGAAATCGCGACGATCTCTCGCTTGTAACGGCTTAGGGCATCGTACGGAAGACTTCTGTAGAGTCCAGTGGTGAGCGCAGCGGTAATTATGGCGGCGCACACGGTCGTCCAGGCGTCGTCGCGTCGTCATTAAACAGCGCACGGAACACACACACACAGCACGCACAAGCACAGTATCCAGTGTTGAGTGCGTCGGGAAGTTCCGGCGGGCAAGCGGTATCCAAGTTGCCCAAGTATTGTCACCAAGCACACCAGCGCAACCAGGTGCCGAGCCAAACTGCAATGGGTCGGCAGCTTCATACTATATAAAGATTCAAAGCCGAAGTCAGTGGGTATCCATCCAGGGCAACGATGGGCGCGTCAGTATCCGTGCGCCCGCAGCGTGAACGTCGCCGCCGGCCGGCAGTCCGACGGGAGCGGAGAAGAACCGAAACTGTCGAAGCGCTGCCGCTGACTGCAACAGACAATGAATGCAAGGCGCGCGTCGTCGCCAAACACGGTGCACGGAACACACACACACACAGCACGCACAAGCACAGTATCCAGTGATGGAGTCCATCGGGAAGTTCCGGCGGGCAAGCGGTATCCGAGTTGTCCTGTCACGAAGCACACCAGCGCCAAGCGCATCCAGATGCCGAGCCAAAGTGCAATGGGTCGGCAGCTTCATACTGAATAAAGATGCAAAGCCGAGGTCAGTAGGTATCCATCCAGGGCAACGATGGGCGCGTCAGTGTCCGTGCGCCCGCAGCGCGAACGTCGACGCCGGTCGAGCGCCGACCGACCATGCAACGAGCGCGAAGAACAAAACTAAACTGACTCGCAGACAAAGCCGGGCGCGCGCGCGGAGAACGCCCGCTCGCAGCGCCCATGTAGGGGATGCAGCGGAGGCGCCTGTCCCTAACACGTGACACGCGAGAGACCGCGAAAGTGGCGAAAGTTCTCCGCCATCCCCCCCTCCCTCCCCTCCTCCAGTCACGCATATGCGCGCCCACAGTATGCGCGCCCGCTGGCTGGGAGCCGCTGGCTGGGAGCAGACCCTACTGGAACAAGGGGAGCGGATCAGATTCACCGATCACCGTGCGATTCCATCCAGTGCGTTGCGTCTCACTGGATTCGACTGGTTACGCCCAGAATCGCGCTGATCGGAACTGTCCAGAAGTCCAAAACTCCGCGGACCCGAACTGGGACCGGTCCCATCTGACATTTTCGTACGGGGAGACACGGAGCGAAGGTGTGTGACAAATCTGTGCAGACGAGCACTCTGAATGACATGTTGTCATGTGCCTCTCTCCAACGTGCAAATTGGCTCACCGAGACTGTAGCCTTTGCCGTTTGCTAAATTGTGATGAAACGAATTACACTAGCTACTATTCTAATTACCCCAGGCTTTCATACTTTGGGCATTTGTTCGACAAGAATGTTATGTCCGCCATCACTGTGAACTCGGCTCAGCACCTATTGGACTGGAATGCTGCATTAGCATTCGACGTGGACTGGGGCCCATTCGTGTGCTTTACGCCGAAAAAAATGGCGACAGTCGTGTTGCTTGATGGGGTTCTGCAAAGGGTCTAGTGTGTCATACGTATAGGAAGTGTCCTGCTATACAACAATGCATCCATACTATTAAACTGGATGCTCAGAGGTGTGTCTGTTTTTGCACTCAACAAGTTGCAGCAATAATTATTTCTTACTAGTGTAATATTTATTTTCGGTAGCTGGGCCTGGTTTGTGCTCAATAATGTCCGTGTGCTTTGATGTTATCACGTGTGTAGCTTTAAGTATCCTCTCTGCAATACCTACAGAGGCCCTTGGAGGGAATAAATTAATAAACAACATTTTCACATCACTGGAGTTGGTTTTCGGATGCGTGGAGAAGTGGAACGAGTGCAGCCCAATGCAACCAGTCTGCCAGTCTGGTATGTCCCATTAATTAATATTGAGGGGTCAGAGATGCGGGTGTCCTCAAAAGGTCCAGCAAATACCGTGAATTTAATTCTTTGTGTAGAGACTCTGAAGGCGTATAGGCGAGCGGAAATATCTTGATCTGATGAGTGTATCAAATATGTTTATTTCCACATAATTACATAATTATTGATTCTTAGAAAATGGTTCCATAACAAGTTTTTTTCTGCGACAGCCTTGTGTCAGGCGTCCAGTCGTAGTACCTGTGCTCCTTGTTGTCGGATGACGCTCCTGGCACGTCGGTGTTCAGTTTGGTCGAGTGGCAGCTTTGACCGACATATGCCGTCTTGTGATCCTACGCCGTGTGCGGCAACTGACATTTGATGCACTGAAGCTGCAGAGCTGGCCTCTAGTCAGCAAAGTTTCGTGGTAGTTCTCTGCGTTAATGCAGCAAGCTCGGGCATGTAGTGCTTAAATGGCTGTGCCTTTTGCTGTAGTGTGGACTTGATGGCTGGCAACAGGCAACAGTGTTTGTTTGCTATCCAAGCCATTTCACTTCCATTTTGTAATGAAGATTTTTTTTTTTCTGCATCCCGCGACCACTGCAACTTGTGTAAGTCTCGTGTGGCAAAGTGAAGTCGGGTGTTGCTTGGCGTCCACTTATGAGAACAACCAACCCTTCTATTTCTTTAATTCACTCAGTTTCATTCTCCGTCGAAGTTTGAAATTGTGTGCTTCATTGCATGGACACAGATAAATGATGTCGGTAAATTATTAGGTATTGTCCTTGGACAACAACCAAGACCAAATCAACTGTCCTTGCATTGCCGCTCACCTGCTTTGTCCTGCTTACCTCCTGTCGAGGTAATGGGGATCAGGAGCCTCGGGGTAATGTCAGCACCAGAAGTAAAGGTCACGGAAGATAATCCTCAATGTCCTGCAGACGCTCCTCAAGACGTGGCCTAAGGTCGTTCGGCACAAACTCTTGCAGGCCAATTCATTGGTACCGGCACCTCCAGTAGACATGGTTGGCCTCATGCAGTGGCAGCAGAGTGGTGTTCGGTCGACCATTCGCAGCACCTCCGT